CCTGGCAATTACTTGTTCCTAGTAGCCAGCAGTTCTCTTAAGTCTCTGCTCTACACAGTGTTGAACTTGGTCACATCTTGTTATGCCTCATTATGGCCCTGATCAAAAGTCTATTGAATTCAATGGAAATATTCCTCTTGGCTTCAGTGAGTATTTGATTGGGCCCATGTGTGAAGCTGAAAATGCAAGAGACTCCATTTCAATTGCAGACAGAAATCCAGCATAGATGATTTTCTTTTTTATTCCGAGGAAATTAATAAAGTGCCCCTTCTATCCAGTTGATTTTGTTGAATATATTTCAGTTCACATTTTTCCCCTGCAAAGACATTACTCCATCTCTCACAGCTACAAAAGCCACAATGCATTTGAATCAATAGATCACAGATATTTTTGCCCAGCTCCAGTAAAGTCCCTTTTTGGTGGGAAGAGGAGCAACTTTGAAGAAAAACACAGCTCCACTAGGGGCTGCATGCCCTCAGGGTTGGGATGCAACTACTTACCATTTTCTGTCCATCCTGCTAAAATCCTGAGGGTAGACAGAATCTATCCTTTTGCATATGGAAAGAGTAGCTTCACTAAGATTTAATTAAACCAATGCGATAAGGGCAGATTCTGCACAAGTCTATGTAGCAGAGTAATTAGAATAGGGCTCTTGATGCCTGAAGGAATCCAGCACTATGATGTACTACACTAAAAGCAGGAATAACTCCACTGCAAGATAGCATGGTGCATATCCAACTCTGAGCACCATGCCTACCCCATTTTGGGTGTGGGAAAGACCTATCTCTTCATTCTTACTGAACTCATGTATGAGTATTGTCAGACCTCCTAGGGACCAACCAAAGAAATGAAAGTGAGGCCACAAACTATGTCTGGGATGAGTTTCCCCAGTAAACTACGGAGAGCTTCTTGTGAGCACTCAACAGGAACTGTGGGAAGCCACTTTAGGACAATCAGCCTTACATCTAAATGGGAAGATTCATTGAGTATAACCGTACTTCCAGTTCTTTCAACTGAATCCTAACAGACTAAGTATAAAAAATTACAGCACTCAAGGAATGGTTCTGTACATAGGAAGAACATGGGATGAGTACAAAATCAGAATAAAAACATGGTACAGTTTCAGCATGCAGAATACTACTAACACTTTACTTAGGGAAAAAAAACACCACCAATAACAACAACAAAAAAAGGTTCTGAAGTCATTGAGCTGTTCTTCTAGGGAGGACTGCCAGTACTCCATCAGAACAGTTTTGATTATTTGGAAATTAGAACAAAGAATCCCATTTTTCTCTCTGTTTTACTCCTCCTTTCTAAACCTTCCTCACTGCTTATGAGCTGGGAGGATTGGTCAAAGGCAGTGACAATTCTTCCTGAGAGCTTGAGAATGAATGGGTATAAAGGAGAACAAGGGAGATATTTTTCATTTGTGTCTTGACCATAGTGAGTTGTAGCATAAGGTTTTTTCTGCATGGGTAAACATTTGCAGACTAGAAATTCTCTATCCCAGATGAAGAGTAGCTGCTGTTGCCTGAATTCCTCCTTATGTATTTTCTGAAGAGCATGTGGGCTTTGTCTGATGGATAATATACATTTCCAGTCCTACATGTGGACATGTTGATGGGCCATGTCAGAGAATTCACTCACCAGTGTCAAATCTTTTACTTTGAGCGCATTCAGCGTCTTCCTTTACTCTTTTATCTTTAATGTCTTTGTTCCACAGTTCTCCATTATTAAATGGAGACCCCTAAGTTACCTCTCACCTCAAAACCTGCTGTGCTCTTGACAAACATTACCTGGGTTTTCATATCTGCTCAAGTGATGTCTATATCTATAAAGAAATCCATAGGGAATTGAACACTTGCCTTTGGAGAAGAGCTTACATGATGCTTAAAGAGAAGGCAACCACTGCACAGTGACAAGAAAATAAAATAACAGATAGTCATTCATTCAGAAACAGTTCCAGCTTTGTGTATTGAATAAGCCAGGGATCCTACTATGTATTCCTATAATTAAAGATTGTGTCAGACTGGTCAGACCTCAGAGTGAAGAATTAAGGCCTTTCCTTTCATGTGCCTCATTTTACAACCTAATATCCTAGTGACACAACTACAAATGCATATGTCTGTATTCTTCAGTGTTGGCATGTAGTGCCTGCACACATAGCATGGCAAAAATCTAGTGGCAGGTAAATGTTGTGCTTGTTAAGTCAAGCAGCTGGCATTTAGGAAATTTCAAACTGAAGGTTGCTTGCATGAGCTGAATTGTCCTTTTGAGTATATTTGTTATAGATAAATAATATAGGGATGAAAAACAAGAATCAAAAAGCATGCTAGTCTTTCTCTCTCCTACAAAAACTTGCTGAAAAAATTAATTTATATGTCAAATTAATACCTTCCCACCATGATTGTGCTCTTTTGTGCTCATTTTCTGCACACAGACCTAATCAATTTTTTCATAACTGCAAATGTTCACAGAAAACTGATTTCGTATGTTCCAGGGAACTGATTACGAAATGCACAATGCTGTGAATTTGCACAGTCACACTTGCACTGCCATTCTTCTAATGACTGATAGACACCAACACTATACAATCCTTTGATCATCCAGGACAAAGCCATATGGCTTGAATATCACATAATCCTTTTGGATTATGTCAGTATGTATAAGCAAGGGACAAACAGCTCATATGAAATATATCAAGACTCTCCATACCTCATGTAATATATCCCAATTTTCTTCTGTGGGAAAAGGTATTTCATGTATCCATTAGTAACTTTGCTCTTAATATACCACCTTCTGAATTTGGTTTCATTCTGAGCATCCTAAAAATGTGGGTGCATCCTAAGATTCTTATGTTTACTGTGCCATCAGCTTGCATGTGCTCTTCCAAATCACATAAGCAATGCTTTCAGTATATTCATTCTAATTGATTTATTTGGCCTTACTAATTGATTCAGACAGATTTTCCATTTCAATCAGTTTCATGACAATTCTTCCTCACTTCCAGAAGGCTCAAAATAGGAATGCTTCTATAAACAGTGGCATTCATATCATATCTTCAGATGTCAGCAGTATTTATGTGAATTACATGTGGTTATATTTGTGAAAATTCCCCTGTGAATGTCACTAAAAAGCACGGGCTAATCCCAAATAACCACAAGCCCTTAACCATGTCCCAACAGAGAATGCATGATGACTAACAAACTCCAAATGCAATTAAACTTATGAATACACAATACAGCTCTGTTCTCCCAGCCCTCAACTTTCACAGTTCCTGACATCATATTTCTCAGGTTCTGTTTGGCATCTCAGAGCATCAAGAGCGTCCTGACCACCAAGTTAATGGAGCACATCTCCGATCTAAATCATCTGCATACTTAGCGATTTTATTTCAAGTTGCTTGTGTAGAGCCAAGAACATATTTGCTTTCTGACAAAAGCTGAATATCCCATATTTGTCGATCAGGATACCTCAGAAACTTTGTCTGTTAATTCTGCTGCTCTTCCTTTTAGACCAGCCTCAAAAAAAAAAAAAAAAAAAAAAAAGAAAGCCTTTATCTACCTACATTCATTTCATTGCTGGACTATGTACTTTGAACTCCACATAATTCAGAAACATATAGCAACAAAATGATCCTTTTCCATCACAATGCTCTTTGTAAATCCTTTTCCAGTACATGAAGGGACATCTCTTTAACACCACACAATTTCTATGTGACGGCTACTGGAAAAGTTTACCGTAGGAGCTGGTACTGTGCCTGTCTTCTATAATATCACTGGTAGTAAGGATGGGATAATCACCATCTAGTGGTACATGAAGGCCATTTCACCTTTCAGAGACACTTACTTTGACTTTCCTAATGAAGACTGAAAAAAATCACATTCATCTCAGCATCCTCCACTTCTTTTTTTCCTATTTGAGTTCAGGTTTGTAGAATTTCTTACACATACAAACCAGGAAAATCACAAGAATAGCACAAACTATGCCTCCAATATCTGATGATTAAGCAAGTAAAAGACAAATTATTCTATGACTCTAGGAAATAAATAGTAGAAGTGGGATGTGGGCTTGTAGGCATATGGGATTTCTATTGGATGATCTTCAGTATAAGCATTAATTTAAAGGAAACATCCTGCCCATACATAGCCCTGCCTTCTGGAGTCACAAAGATAACAGTCTGCTATGTTCCTGGTATCTTCCACTGGTCCTGAAGTGAACAGATTCCTCCAAGGAAAACCAATGTTTCTAGTTCAGAAAGTTCATGCAACATACTAAGAATCAGGTTCAGTATAGTTAAATATGTGTTATTGAATAGAGAAAATACAGCAAGTTATAGCTATATTGAAAATATTGTCGTTATTTTCTTATCTACCTCCCAAGTCTGAAGCTAAATTAAAAGCTGAGGGTTTAGAACAACAAGACTATAGAGAGACACAGCTAATGAATTCCTGCATGTGTTTCGGTAAAAATAGGAATGGAACTTTTTAAAAAAATAATCAGGTCCTTCTGAAATACATAGCTAATCTGTAGGTGCAATTAATTTACCTTCATATACTAATTGGGTGTTTCTCTCAGAAAATGGCCAATTACATGCCTAATAAGCCATTTCTGGATACAAAAATCTAATTTGTGTGCCCAATCATACTAACTATGAACCCAAATTAAGCATAGAGTTTTGCAGATCCTCTTTTTACTAGCTGCATAGGCTAGCTTTGATCTAACAAAAGCCTCAGAAATTGTGATACTCTTTAAGTACTCATTTGATAGCGACCTATATCAGGTATTGCCTAACAAGTCACTTGCTAATATTTATACAACAACTGATTTCTTTCAATTTTCATTATTTCATTAGTTTAGGGTTACCATGTGTGTTTTGCTATGATTTTATAAGGAGATTCTGAATACTAAGAATTTGGTGGTTTCTAGTCAGGAGGACTCTGATAACCACCAGAAAGCACATCTGAAAAAAAAAAAAAGGTGAATGTTTTCAATAGTACCTGCTCTGGTTTGATGGGTTCAGTTGTCGTGAAAATGTCAGAATAATGTTGCCTCTCAAAGACTCGGTCCAACACTTCTAATTGCTGCTGAGTGAAAAGGTCTCCTCGCATCTGTTTCCGAAGAAAATCTCTGGCTGGGAGAGAATGTCCATTTGGTACTGGAGACTCCTGGATACCTTTCAAAGTGGACAAAGAGAGCAGAATAAATAAGCATTGCAATGACAAGACTGAAGCAGCAGTCTTTGACATCATCCTTTGTGGGCATCAGTATGCTGAAAAGATGAAAAGACTCTTTTCCAAGGCAGCTAACAGGGAGATATATGTTTCCAGAAGCAGTACTGATCCATTTTACTGTGCTTATATTATAGTCAGTCCTTACTACAATCTGTCAATGATTTCAGATGAAGATTTAAGGAAGAACAAACTGTAATTAATGGTTATATGTAAGCTCATGTTTTATGATAAGACTGGTCATCTGTATAGGTCAAGATCCAGGAAGAAACTGGACTATAAGTACACCACCTGATGCTAGAGAAATAGTTGATGTGAAATACCTATGGCAGACCTGATTCTCCTAGTCACTGTCCATGTGCTTCATCCCCAACCACATCCTCCCAGTACAGTGTGAATATTATAGCTGTCCAAAAGCACTCCTATGCTATGCTGCACATTGTACTCTGTACTCAATGTACACACATTGTTGTGTTTATACGAGGAAACAAGTGCTGCTAATCGAACAATACTTGTAGTTGTGTGGACAATTCTTGAAACATGGGGACTATCTAATTTCAGGCCCACTAAAATAGGATATCCCTGAAACACAGAATCATCTACAGAAGGGCCTGAAAAGGCCTGGCCTGACGCAACCTTCTGGTTTATTACAATTTCACTTCACATTTCTTCATTTTATAAACATGATGAAAGGCTGCATTTTCTAGCTCTCTCCTTTTGGCAGAGATTTAGCAAAAATCATTAGAATCACTGCCCCGTTCATGGGAAAATAGCCACAGTAGCCATCTAAAACATGTTTAGATTGGCACTCAAAAAACACTCTGCAACATAGGGTTTATTTCAGTTTGGCTTTTTAACAGACTCACAGTGCTTTTCTACCTATTCCTTCGTCTGATGGAAATATATATTTTCTGTTATGTAAGCTGAGGTCTGCAATATTCCCAGGACTCCAGGAGGTGGAACTCTAAGAACAACAGTAAATATTAGGAGATTTTTTTCCAGATGCCAACATTGCAGTAGAATGTTTCAAAAATAATTTCTCAATGCCAATATTGTTAGAGGACCATAAATTAAATGTATACTTAACAATAAGATTATCGTTAGTGCTCTTGTGACTTTTTGTCTAAGTAGTTTACCGGCGAATAACAGCACTCTATTTTCTACAGTGGATTCTACTTTTTTTTTTTTTTTTTTTGATTGAAAGTAACAAAAATACTGTCTGTTGCAGATACTATTCCTTTCTCCAGAAACTCAGTGGCCATCAACAGCATAAGTGATACCCACTAGGCAATATTTTTTACAAATAGGTAGTGATTTGGATGATTATCATGTGTGTTTACACCTGCATTTTCCAGAAAGTTCTTTATTATCGATAATAAGAAAAGTGCTGTTATCAATAATAAGAAAAAAGGGTTCTTTAAGATAGGTCTCTCAACCTGGCAACTAAGCAAATAACACTGGTTTTTAAAAGCTAGGTTAATCTCTGTAATGAAAATGAATAACAGGCTTATATTTACATGTTTGGACAAATTAATGTAATTAAACCCAAAAATAGACAATGTAAGATTCTGTAGAGTGCTAGGTTCTGTTTATTCTGTGGAAGAAGAAGTTTGAACTTGTCCTCTGAATAGAAAGTCTGAGCATGCATACAGAGATGTGAAACACTGCAGAGGGATATAAGAAAGCAGTGTATCTTTAAATCTTATTTTACTATTGCAAATCAAATATTATCTAATAGACCCAGTGCTGGGTTTAGTCAAGCATGGCTTATAATATTAAAATTCTGGTTGCTAGCTACATGGTAGCAAAAGGCCAGGGAGATACAGTCTCTAGAGCATAGAAATGCTGGCTTTAAATTTCAGGTTAAACTAATATTATTCACTATTTAGCATCAAAGTTAAAGCTTTACACCTTTTTCTTCTAAAGGGAGTGATGAAAAGGAGTAAAATGAAGCAAGATATAGTATGACCTGGAAAATGTTCTCCATGACTCCTGTATTGTTTGCATGTTTTTTATAGAGCCAAAAACCAGATTCAGTTTAGTATTTAAATCTAGTGCAGCAGATTCATATTTTACCAGCAACACTTGTGTTATAGAACATTCGCAGTGAGCACAGCTCTGAATTTTTTTTTTATTGCAAACTCATTTGGAAAAAATTGACCCAAGCAAATATTAACTTTAACGTTAGCACCTTCATTGACAGACACTACTGACAGGCTCAGGACACTACATCCTAGGTACTGTGCTCTGTCATCTCTGCTTAAGCAGCAGGCAGTTTAAGAGGCTTAATAAAGGCACTGGAAAGGGAAAGTATCCTATAAGCATTTCTGACTCTGCCCTTCCTGCTAGGGAACTCAAAGAAGGACCTGCCACTGTAATGTCTTCAGAAATAAAAGGGGACCTTCCTACAGCCTGGCCTGGAAGGAAAATGTATATTTAAAGGCAGTATCAGAGAAATTGAGAAGCAAGCCAGAGGATTATCCAGGCTAGTTAACCTGTAGTCACCCAAATTGCACTTGGCTGCTGGCAACAAAGCACAGGCAGTACTGGTCAATATAGCAAAGGATAGAATTAAATGAAGATAGAGGAGAGTTTTGGAGGATTTTGAATTTCAAGACCAGAATTTGATATGCTTGGGGAAAGTCTAAAAAGCCTAATAGGTAGTAGAACCTAAACAGCAAGCCAAAGGGCTATTTTCCAACACGATGGGTCTATTTCTATGTTTGTATTTGTAAGATCTCCACAGGCCTCCTCAGTAATGTGGGACAAAATAAGTCTTTCAAAGTAGATTGCTGACACAGCTTGATTTTTTTTTTTTTTTTTTTGAAATGAAAGGGCAATGAGTATATGGTTGGCCAACAGGGAGATACCTGGGCAGAAATGATGCAGTTCTGAAACTGTTAGGATGACCTGACACTGTCTAGGACATCCTAGTTTGGAAACTGCATCTTACATACATACACTTTTCTTCCCTACCTGTCTCTGTCGGTGCACTCCATGACCAAAGAGATGCTCAGTGCTTTACTTTCTCTCCCAAACTCACTAACTCCAGAAAACAAGCCCTGAACAACTAAAGGGCTCTCTATATGCTGTACATGACACCTAAAAATTCATAAAGGTCTTTGAGATGCATTTGCCAGAGAGGTATTATATAAATGTGAGATAATTACCATTAGTATTATGCATTGTTTGAATATACTAGAACATTTCCAATAATTAAAGTACTGTTGGCAGGTTTGAAACAGTATGGGTAATAAATAGACTCCAGGGAGTGGTAAAAACATTTTTTATATAATCAATGCATCCACCTAGGAGGATTGCATTTTGTTGACAGTAGCACTGCAAATGTGCATACCAACTCTGCAGAACAATTAGTTCCCGGTCCAGTGGCATCTTTCCAGAAATGGTAATGAAGAATGTAGATAAAATATTCTCCTTACAGCGAAAGAGGACATTCTTCTCAAGTGAATGTTTCACCCTTTGTCTCTAATGATAATACAGCACAAGCCAACACATTATTATAAAAACAGTACAAGAACGCATCCTTAGGTCACAACATTCTCAGATACATATATTCCCTCCTAAAATGATGACCGAAGAACTACATCTCTCATAGATCTCTCTGCAGCCTGCACATTCAGATTTGCCCTAATTTGGAGGAGGGAGTGTGCTCCTCCTTCTCTACATCAGCACCAAGTCTGATCTGGCACTGAATCTGCTCCACTGGACAGTGCTGCGGCTTCAGTAGCTCTTCCATTGATCTCGCATGAGCCAATTCAGCAAACCAACTCCAAGTTCAGATACTGCTTGGGAGTGAGCATATATGAGCATTAAGCTCAGATCATAAACCAGTGATTCATAGTTGATGAGCTCATGGCATTTAGGTACATCTTTATACAGGGAAAATTCCTACAAACATCCTCCCCCTTTTCACATTTACTACTGGACATCTGAAAACAAAAAAAAAAAGCAAAAAAGAAATGTTATGACTTCAGAGAGCTGAAGGCAAATGCAGTGCTAGCATTACATTTTAGTAAAGAATTCCCTGCAGTCAGTAAAAGTCAGAATAGTCTAGAAAGTGTTCTTTGCTTCCACAAAGAACAGATATGGCACTGAGAAGAGATATGACATTTTTTCATCTTGCTGACAAAAGGCTGGCTAAAGTGTGGTGATATCATTCAGAAATAGTAGGTCTTAGTTATTTAAGAAATTATTTTATGGAGACATTAACAGATGGCAAGAGTAGGTCAAGGAATTTGATGAATTGTGATGTATTTTTTATTATACTTTTATATTATATGGTTAAATATATGTTTTTATATATTTTCTGAAACAATAGGAAACACAGAATTGCTAGATATGTCTGAAACATTTTTTTAACAATATCGACCCTTTAACTCCTTTGTTTTAAAATAGTTTTTAATTTACACAGTTCTAAAACTATGGATCTAATTAAGGAGAACAAATAATCTTAGTTCTCATAAAACACCACAGCACTTTTAAAATGCTCCTAAAGCTTAGTGCTAGAAAAGTTAAATTATGCCGGTAAAAACATTGAAATTAAGGGAAAAAAAATCTTCCGCTCATTTTATTAGTAGCATTTTTATTGTTTAGAGAGATAAAATCACCCATTTAATTATTTCTTTATGAAGTAGCATTATGAAATAATATGGGAGAGATTCCTTAACGGGTGTAAATAAATGTAGATTGTAGCCATACTTAAATTCATCTGGAATAATATTTCCCGAGTTTCTAAAAACATTGATGTACCATAAAGCACACATCTCTTAGGATATCTATCTAATGTAATTCTGTACCAGGGAAAAGGCAGTCTCCTGGTTTTTAGCTTTTGAGGGGTTTCGAGCTTTTTTAGCAACATGGTTTTACAGGGTTAAGCGAGGAAGTAAATAACCAATAGTATGAACAGCCCATATTCATAAAGGAC